TAAAATAGTATAAAAAGTTAATTTAAATTATTTTTTATTTAATATAAAAAATTATAAAAATTAATTAAAATTTGAATAATTTTTATTAGAAGTAATTATTAATTTTTATATTAAGATATAAATCTTTTTGTATTAATTTATATATATAATAACAATCATAATTTATAAATACTTGAATTTTTTACTAATTATAATTAGTAAAATAATTATTTTTTTTATATATAAAAGTTTTTAATTTTATTAACAAATATTTTTTATTTTTAGCTTAAAAAATAGCTAATCTAACATATATTTAATTTTATTAACAAATATTTTTTTATTTTTAGCTCAAAAAATAGCTAAAATTCTCTAATTTAATATATATTTTTTTCAGATTTTTTACTGAGAACTTGTTTAATTGTATATAAAATTAATTAATTTTTACTAATTATTAATTAATAAAAATTAATTATTCTACATGCAATATAAATAAGTTTTCAATAAAAATTCTGAAAAAAATATATAGTTAATCTCTTTAAGTGCATGCACCATATAATTCTTTCTAAATGCATAATATATTAATAAAAATTAATTACTCTACATGCAATATAAATAAGTTTTCAATAAAAAATCTGAAAAAAATATATAGTTAAATCTCTTTAAGTGTATGCACTATATAACTTCTTTCTAAATGCATAATATATTAAATAAAAATTAATTACTTTACATATAATATAAACAAGTTTTCAATAAAAAATCTGAAAAAAATATACAGTTAAATCTCTTTAAGTGTATGCACTATATAACTCCTTTCTAAATGCATGATGTATTCTGGTTCCAGTTTTATAAGAGTTTTATATATTTTGATCTTTATAAATACATATCCTCTCTAAATACAAACTTTTTATTTTTTTTACTATGGTTTCAAGAGGGATGCACTTAGAGAGATGCAACTATATATTAAAATTAAATATTTTTATATATAAAGAGAAATATTTATTTTACTAATTATAATTAATAAAAAATTCAAGTATTATATTAATTATGATTATCACTGTAATCATTAAATCTGAAATAAAAAGAGTTAAATCAATAAAAGAAGCTGAATCTATAAAAGAAATTGAAAATATAAAGTAAATCTTATAAAAGACTAGAGATAAATAGTTTATAAATAAAGAATGTGAATCAAATTATTATAGCTGATGTGAATAATAATGATGTGCTAAATTTTTTTATTATATAAGGATTAAGAACTACAAGAATGATTAAATAAGAACATTTGAGCATGTAAAAATATTTCGGATCATGTAATTTTTAAGAGAAAACCAATCAAATCTCAAGATATAAATATTAATAATATTACAATTACAAGAAAATTTTCAATAGTAAAGAAACTTTTTATCTCCTTAAAAGTCACATGAGTTTTGATCTTTTTTTCGCAACTATTAAATTTTCCCAACAACCAATAAGAATACATAACGACACAAAAAAGTGAAAAATATAAAAAACAGATGTTTTAATCTAACTTGAAGTACTAATAAAAAATGTCGGTAAGGCAATTTTATATATAATTTTATCCTCTAACCTCATCCTAACCTTTAACCCGATCGATTTTAATGTTTTAAAATTTTTCGGGATCGACAAGCCGGAATCAATTCATGGGTTTGTAGTTTTGAGCCATAGGATGGATTAGATAGAGTTTAATTTTTTATTTTTATTGTTTCATTTATAGATATATATTAAATAAATAATTTTTAAATATATTATTTTATATTTAAAGTTATAGAAAAACACTTAGTCAATCTGGATGTAACGAATGCACTTTGTAACGAATCTAATTAAACTCGGGATATAATGAATTTGAGTTTCAAACCCATTTATAATAAAAGTCTCTGGATATAATGAATTTTTGACAAATTTTTACTAATAGACCCGGGCCATTTGTTATATCAAGATTCACTAGGTATATGATATATACAAAAAACTTTATATATATTATCGTCATAATGCGAAAATTAAAGTTCTTTTTCGAGTCAACAGAAAATTTCAAAATATCAATTTTCACCACCACTACTTTTATTATGGAACGGTTTTAAAGCATAAATTTTGGTTACACACCATAGTGTGCGTGTAAATTTGAGAGAAAACGACATTTTTTTATTATTGTACCGAAAAAACTTGTATAACCACTAAATTGCTTTAAAAAGTAGTGTTTTTGCATTTATTTAATTTCGTTTTGACATAATTAATAACATCATGTGTTTGCGTATGCGGTGTTAATGATCATTCAAAAAGTTTTTTATCTCATATCTTTTTCGACGCACAAACTGCAATAACAGTTATACAAAATAACAGATATATTCGATAACGATAAGTAGAATTTGTTGTAATACAATATGGAGATAATGATCCCTTAAGCTAAGCTGAATTTATATATTGTTTTTGTCATAATTTTTCTCGAAATATAAAAGAAAACGCTTTTTTTAGTAAACTTGAATAATTCATTCAAGAAGCTTGTTACATGTAATATATCCGCTGATGCATCAATCACATCGACATTGAATGAACATGACAACTTTTACGATTACAATTAGAATAAAAATTGTCGAAATTTGTGACGTTGTTCGCATATTTCGTTAATATTATCGACCCATTTTATAAATGACCGAACGTGAACAGCAAGACATTTTTTTTTTTGACGTGTGTACGGCATCATCAACAAGCCATAGCTGAAATGTGAAATAACATTGTTTCACAAGTTTCTGCCACTAAAATCTGTAACTTTTTGTCTCCATATCGTATACATGTATCAAAACCTGTTCCGGTTAATGGAACAGGGCCCATTTCGATCCAGCATTTGCAAATCAATGATGGTACCTATGCATGCAATCGAGCGGTTCCCACAAAATTGCGAACGAGTCGATTTAAGTGGCAAATGAAAACCTCTTATTGGCGCTACAAACAGATTTGTCACACCCCAGTTGGGAAGGTGAGACAACTTCAATCGAGCATCGTAGTTATCCATGATCAACAAGGTGATTAACATACATGTACAATTTGGGGAGGCTAAACTTTTTATGAATTGCATGTGCTAATACAACTCATATGATAGAATTATAACGATTAAAATAGAAATTCATCGTCTTTCAAAAGTTAAAATTGTTACTTGGATAAATGAATACATGTGTATTTTGAATTGATTTCGTTCAAGACACATTGCTACTTATCTTATAAAAAGCTAAATTTATCAATTTAAATCGATTACGTAATACGCACTCTGAACACGCGATACATGTATAATGTATAATGTGGATTTTTCTTTTTCCGTCGGTTAGGAAATTTTTTTGTATTCAGAACGCCCGTTTATCTTAGCCATCGGAAAATCTCGATATGTATGTATTTCTGCATATTTGCCAGTATTTTTTTTTACAATTTCTAGAAGGAGCAAACAGGCAGACGCCTTGTGACAATGAAGCACAATAGAATTTAGAAAGCTTTAGTAAAGCTTATTTTTTTATCGATTTGAGTACGTTCGCAAGAGAAAGATTAGTGGGGTCAAAAAGTTACACAAACTTACCAGACGCAGATTTTTCTGAATATGTACATGTATCAGAGTGTATGCAAAAAAAATTGTCGTTTAATTAAAAATTTTTTAATTCGTCTTGATTAGAAATCAGCAAAGTTACTTGTTCTATATCTAAAGGCGGATAAATATTAAAATATCTTATTCATATATATGCGGCAAAAATTTGTTTTGAGCAGAACAAAAAATCTTAAACCCTTAAATTTGGAAAAGAAAGTGATACTGTTTTTCATTAATGGAAGAATTTATATACAAACTATACAATTATCAACACATGATTGAATTTTGTTAAAAAAAGAACAGGCGTATAATAATAAAGATGAAAAGAAGAAGAAAAGCTTATTGCTGAGAAACATAAAATCTTAAAAGTTAATAAATAAAGCACACGCATGCATTTCTTATAATAAATGAAGAATTTTTTGTGCAAATATTTTTCCAGCTTATCCACCCAAACTTCCGCATTTTATTGTTCTTCGACACCAATATAATGATTCATGAATATCTTTTACAGTCCCAAAACCATAGCGATAGAATTCAGCAATTACATGTTTTGCATCCTCACGGCCATTCTTAGCGGCTTTCAGGTACCAATAAAATGCTTTATTTTGATTTTTAATAGTTCCGATACTTTGTTCATAAAAGTACCCTAACAAATAAAAAGCTTCCACATTTCCATTTTCTGCTGAATTTTTGCATAAGTCAAATGCTTTCAGCTCATCTCTCTCTGTGCCTCTTCCATCATATAAACAAAGTGCGCAATTATATTGACCGGTTGGCCAACCACCAGTTGCCGATTTCTCGTACCATTCGAATGCTTTGACCATGTTTGGAATTGTCCCTATCCCACGCTCGTAATAGTATCCAATTGTAGCTTGAGCTCGTATGTTTCCATTTTCTGCAGCTTTTAGATACCAATAAAAAGCTTTATCCTCGTTCATTTCGGTTCCAATTCCTTGTGAATAACAAAGTCCAAGGTTACATTGTCCACGATCAGATCCATCATTAGCTGTCTTTTGAAACCAAAAAAACGCCATCTTCTCATCTTTCTCTGTTCCCTTCGCCGCATAGTAACAATTACCAAGTGAAACTTGACCAAAAACATCACCGGTCGTTGCAGTCATAAAATACGATTCGAATGCTTTCTTCTTATCGATTCGGATTCCAATGCCGTATTCGTAAAATACTCCTAGTAACCATGCATAACGCCATTTAAATTGGTCGGTTGAGATTAAATGAAAGAATTCCTCGGGTTTGAGACCTTTTTCAATCAGAAATCGAGTGAAAGTTGGCTCCACTTGTTCTTTTGCGCTTCGACTAACTGCCTCAATGAATAAAAGCCTCATTTGCTCAAGTAATTCTTTATCCTCTAACAATTCTAAATAATTAGATGCCGTCGGCGGCGAGAATGATAGTGAAGTCGGGTATTGCGTGAATTTTTTTCTCCGGTCACTATGGTCAGAAAACTGAATACTAGGATTTTTATTCCGTAATTTCGAATGTTGTTGTGGATAATGAAGACTCCTTGCAAAAAATATAACAGGAGGAATGAAATTGTGAAGTTTAGAAGAAGGTGATGTTGACAAAATGGCATTGTCATTGTTGTTGCTATTATTCTTATTATTATGGATGATAAGTGAGTTATTAATGGTGGTCGAAGCCTCAAGTTTTGATAAAGCCATTCCTTCAAAAAGTTCTGTCATTCTATCGCCAAATGGTAGGTCCGTTTTATTCCCCGACATTACAGCAGCATTAGAAAAAAGTATATTAACAAGTAAAACTTGCTCTTTTATAAATATGTTATGTGTTCGCCAATCATTTCTTATTTATCACAGCATGTTATGCATGTGCTGTGTGACGCTAGATCTAACATCGGATTACATTCCCGCGATTTTAACGGCATTTATTGATACGCTAGATAGCTTTTTTCCTAGCCGGAATAAAATTAAGTGCATAAAGTAAGCTTATACTTGTATATGTGACCTTTTCCGAACATTTTCGGTCAATATGTGGGGTTGACGACGATGTGTTGTCCTTAGAAATCTGCACATGATACCTTGTGCACGTCTTTTTACATTAGCTGTGATACCTAAAGTTTGCACAAATAATCTTTCGTGCTGTACCAACAACAACAGCAATGCGATAATGCTAATGCACAAACTTTTTTATTATTGAAACAGTCTTATCTACAGAATACGGTACAGCATCATCATGAATGAATTCAAAGTATAAAAAGTACATAAACACAAATTTTTTAATTTACGAGATCGAATTCAAAAACAAAATTCCGAAACAATAATTTAATTGGTTTTCCTAATTATTAATCTGTGAATGATAGGTTATAAATATTACACATTATGCATTAAGAATATAGCGCACCTATTTAACAAGTGATAAGTCGCCGAATTATATGAAGCCTAGTAATTGGCGCCTAATAAAAATGAGAATAAATACCAATAATTTTTTAAAACTCTGAGACAAGAAATTAAGTAAATATGAAATTTTCGCATAACATTTTATATATCATTCATTAGCTATCTCATCGATTCATCACCTGACACACAATTTCATAAGCAAAAAATAAACATATATTGTTTGTTTCCCAAAATTCGGGGAATACAATATATACAATATTTATTATTTGGCGCGGAGAATAAATTTATATCGATATGCACATGTATTAAAGATATTGAATTTGCGTATTTTGATGGTTATTGATCTGTTTTGCAGAAAAAGATGCTATTCCATTTAATATCTGTGTGCTTATCAAAACAAAATCTTTTCGAAAATCAATTTAATATAAATTATTTCATAGTATCAATCTTATTAAGATAAAATTATAAGTATTATTCATACGGAATGGGAAATGGAAAGGTACATTGGTTCATATCAGATATGCATTTAAAATTTGTGTAAAGAAACATACGAACCAAATATACATGATATTATATACGATTATTTTTCTATATCGATCTCGGAATAAGATGCAATCTACCCAAATTAACTTACTTTATAATCACTGTATATCTCCGAAAGTAAGCAACCAAAAAATTTTGTGTGGTGTTGCTTATTACGTATGAATCACATTTCAAACTCTATTATATAGTGAAGCACTTGATGAAAGATTTAACTTTTTTGATTAATTATATGATAATCGATAAGATCTTATATTGACACTTTCTAAAGGTTGCTTATATTCAGTACTTATCTTTTTGTGTATTTAGGTTTAAAATAGTGGGAAGTACTTATTTTCGGGGGTTGCATATTTTTGAAGATTCACGGTGGCAAATTATCCCTTTTCGTTAATGGCATTTTTTTAATATTTATAATGTAGATTTGTGCACGAAACATTTAATTATAGCAGGCTCTGTTATGAAGGCAAGGGTATTGTGATGAATATAATAAGCTACTAACCCATTATTAGTAATCCGTCACAATACCATTACCCCCAACATAATATACACCTTTACTTTTAATACGATGCGAGAATTAAATCACTTGAATACATGCTTAAATTTATGTTAATTAACAACCTGAACTATAATTATTTTGTTCACAATAAATACATTTTTTTATAAACAAAGAGTCATCAAGAAATAGTTATATAAACATAAAGTTTTTTTTTGGAATAAAAAGTTTCAGAGAAAATAATCTGGAAAAGCCTTGAAATCGCGCATTTTTTGCGATTTACTCACTTCTAATTCACCTTCGATAAAATAATACCTTTTCGGGTAACGTTCAAAACCCCGACAGCTCATAAGTCCAACAAAAAATTCCCAAAAGAACGGCCTAAACGACAAATACATGTACATGTAGAATGTGCGCATATTTATCGGAGATCCATTAATAAAGTTTCATTAATAATTAACACGAAGTAAAATACTAATAGTTAAGTTAAATTCTATGCATTGTTCAGAAATGCTGCTAAAGCTAATAATCCTCAAATATCGATCGGAATAAAGTTGTTGCACGGATATAACGAAATCATCCGTTCCATCAGTGAAAATCCGTTATCTTGAGTTTAATTAACTGAGGAATTCATTAATTAAGTAGGATTTATTATAATCCGTCTTGAAACGTGATTCGTTATATTGAGTTTCAATGTGTACATGTATATGCATCAAAATTAAACAGCTAATTATAGCATGCGTTTGTTTAAAAAACTTGAAACTCAGTAACAAACTACAACGAACTTAAAATTTTCTATTAAAAAGTCAACTCAAACATTATAATTATAGGGTCATTTATTAAAACATGTTGTATAGCTATAAGAGAAGATCATTAATAACTTGTTTTTAGACAAAGTCTAAACGATCTCTTAAACTATTGGTAGTCGACTCTTTAAAATCCAAATAAAGTAACAGTGTACTGTTCTATTTTTATAGATCATTTGTTTAGAAGAATAATGATTAAAAGAAGATATAATCGATATTATTGGACTATATTTTTATCGAACGATGAGCTTAAGCTAAAAAATTAATTTCATGGGTATAATAATAACTCTCCTTGCATTTCTGTCAAAAATGGTTCTGAGAAGTACTTCTAAAAAAATAAAAATGTTCAATTATTATTATGAAGAGATTGCTGCTCACCGAGAAATTACGTTTACATAAACCAGAATTTGGGCGTATTAATAACGTGCGTTATCATCGTAAAGCGAAATTTCATGTACACTCGTCGTCTTTCATGATTGGAATGATTGTTGTTGCAGATAAATCGATTTTAAAATATCTGAAGCTTGTTTCCTCAAAATTTTAAATGTCTCTATTATCAACCCATATCGATGAATGAGCTTATAGAATTATTAGTAAAATGAATTGAGGTTCATGTCTTTATTTCGTACTGTTTTGCTATACAGATTGTAATCGTACGAATATTTGCCAAAGAAAAATAGATATGAAAGTAAAAACAAGAGTAGTTAATGAGATTCCTAGTTTTTATGCCACTTGTTCTTGCCTTATTTTATCAACAGTTGACTTCTTTATAGTAAAGTTCGTTGTAATAAAGGCTAATTAAACTCTCTCTCTATAGAAAATTTAGTTTAAAACAAAAGCCCCTCTTTATAATGAATTGATTTATAAATTCAAATAAATTCTCGATATAATAAATTTTTCCTTAATTGAACGGACACTTTAAAAGAAGTCAACTGTAAAATTTTTTTGAATGAGATAATTTTATTAGTTGCAACGCAGCCAGAACTCCCCCTGGTACCAGCCATGAGCATGCATTTAGGAGGGTGTGCATTTATAGAGTGCGCATTTAGAAAGATTTATCTGTGCATTTATTATTTGATAAATTCTTGTGCAATTTCTTATGGCGAAGAGGGTATGGGAGTATTACGAAATGCATTGTGACGAGGTCGCAATACCTATCCTTCGTCAAAATATCCCTTTTTTCCTTAAATTTTGACAAAATTTTATGTTAATGTATTTCTTTAGATCACTTCTTCTGCATTATATATGCATGCCACTGAAATTACAATCGAGTTTGATACATGTAGTGTATAAAATTCAATGTTCCCACTGTTCTCAAAAAATCACAATATTATTGAGATAAAAATGTTCCCTTATTTGAAAACAATTTGAGCTGTTTTAAGAAAAGATACAGTGGTCGTCATAAAT